TTTCCCTTAGATAGAAAACTTTTAACTAATTGGAACGTATGATCAGATTGAAATGATTAAAGTGCCTTGGGATGACATGTTATAAATTGGCGTTATTAAAATAAACTGAAACTGAATTGAATCATCCATCCATCATCCCTCCATCCATCATCCAACATCTATATCCTGTTTTCCCTACAGATTTGTGGCAGACATCCTGGACATCTCTCCTGTACATCACTGATCTTTACTTCAATCTGCAGACTTTTCCAGTCACTCTGTCCTTAATTTTCCTTTTTTCAGGATAATGACGTCTGTGCAGCTCTTGTTATAGATCAGTTTTTCAGATTGGTATTTAGTTTGAAACAAACTGCGGCTTATCTGCCGTTCCTCTGGCGGTTAGTTTAAAACATGTCTATAAATATCTCTGGCAGTGTGTCTGTGTTGCTGCGCTGTCCTGTTAGTGTTTTTCAGATTTTCATAGCTCAGTCTGTATATATAGAAACTTCTCCCCTTTATCAGGACTTTTATTTCTCTGCCGTACTTGTTAATACTTGGGGCCTTCAGGTTCTCGTCCAAACTCTCCTCCACATTTCAAATATTTTGATTGTCTCTCCACAGGAAGATAAGCGCGGTCCTCCTGAGCCGCTACCATCACCATAAAATTAGACAATTAATAACCGACTTTAATTCATTAAATTCTATTCAGTTTATTTATATAGAGCCTAAATTCACAACCCCATTTAAGCTCAAGGAACTTTAAAAAGACAATTCAACCGGATCATCCAGTCAAATTGGTTAAACGTTTTTTTACAAGGAAAACCAGCTGATTGAAACGACTCAAACTAAAGGCCTGGTTATCCTCCTGCAGCAGTGGGTCGCAGTGAGCTTGATGCAGACATTTTTGATTTATGCTCAATTTTTAGTGTAGTCTGCGCTATACGCTGTGGGTCTAGATACTGAGGAGGTGGGGGCGAGTTTAGTCTGACAACGGAGGGACATGAGGGCCAAAAAGAGCGGGGATCCAGGTGGAAAAAGGGGCCCAGCGTTCTATCGCACCTCGCTCTGCTAGCTGCTCCATCTTCACCAGGCGTTTTCCACAATGGCGGTCAGACAAACAAAACCAGCCGACCTTCTGTCTGCGCTCGCCTACAAATTGGGAGAGGTGCAGCAGAGTGTCTGCGGAGTNCTTTCACTGATCTAAAACACTGCAGGCAGACTGTTGATGACCTCACTTCATCGGCTTCCTGTTAAATGCTGGATAGAGATTCCAAAACAAGTTGATGTGTTGTGAATTTGCGCTATAGAAATAAACTGAATTGATTTGAATTTGGGGAAAGTGTTTTTGTTCAACTCATAAATTAAAACCAACCTTAAAGGTATAGTGGAGGATGTTCTTTTTCTGGGTGGATCATCAAAATAATTGGTCCTCCTAACTGTCAATCATACTTGTGATGTGATTAGCTAAGCTTTCTTCGTTTTCACTTACCGGTTGTAAATCTGACAAAGTGGAAAAAATGCAAATCCTCTTTTGGAAACTAAGCTTGTATAAAGGACGCAAACAGCAACTTTTACGCAGAGCGTGCACGAGGAGACGTGCACGCTCTGTTTAAAAGTTGAACCCCTGTACCTCCTCTCGAGAGCGGGTACAGGATTGTGCATGAGGTTTTTTGTTTGCTTTTTTATAAGTGGAGAGGGCGAATCTTTTCAAAGCTTCAGGAAAATCCTCCACTATACCTTGAAGAACGATTTTAGGATATTTTTTGATCCAATAATGAAAATTCTTTCTCATTTTCCGCCTTGAAATTCCCTGCAATGTTCTTCCTTCTTTAGACATACCATATTTCAAACTCAACCAATTGCTGAGTTGGGCGGGCTTTACAAAATTCCACAAAAAAAAAGTAAAAAAAAAAACTGGACTTGTTATCCATGTTTGAAGAGGTTTTGCTTCCCATCCAAAAATTTTCTTAATTCAAAATGTCTGAAGTAGCATCGAGTTCCAGGCTTTATAGGGTTGTTAAGCCAGGCTAACAACGACCCTAACGACTCCCCATTGTGTTTGGTTGAACTAGCATGTTTTCTAAGCCATAACACGGCTGTTGCTGCGCTAATCTATAAGACCTGGAGCTCCACGCTCCAATTGAGAAAGCTT